GGAGAAAATGGGGCAATGACCTCATAGGAGGAAAACAAAAGGGACACATTCCCTCCAGAGCAAGTAAGTAGGTCAGTGCCATGGGGCGGGCTGGAAGAGGAGCCCACGATGCCTGGGGGGTGGCTGGAGGAGGCTGGGCAAGCAGCAGAGCTGCTCGGGGCAGAGACCAGGCTCTTGGTGCTGGGGATCCTGCAAGCAGGCAGCAAAGGTGGGTGTGAAAGGGTTTCACAAACCAAACGGGTCACAGCATCACTCCCGTGAAGAGGGAAAGTCAAATGAGAACCTTATCTCCATCACATTCAAGCAAACAGGGACGGCAGTGGGGCAGGAGGGCAGCTGCTCCCAGTGCTGGACTGGGAGCCAGGAGACCGGGCTGTCTTCCTGCATGAGCACCTGGAAGTTACCTAACCTTCCTCTTTCCTCATTTGTATAATAGGGTTAATAAACACGCTGTGCCCCACGGTGGTGACGTAAAGTTAAGCTCTTTCATGTTTGTTGGGTGCTACAATGGGCATCACCATAAAAAACCATAAATAATGTGCCTTGAAGTTCTGTTGAGGTATTAGCCTTGTTTTAGCAGTGCAGATGTTACATGAGCTACCCACACACAAAAGCTTCTCCTAATTAGGATCCAAACTTCCTTTTTTTTTTTTAGCCTTTTGTTAATGGCTTTTGAAGCTGAACACATTTCACTTGCCCAGCCTATTTGGCAATTTATTATAATCTCTTCAAACTAGCAGCGCCTTTCAGTACACTCTTAATTCTCATTATTGCATTCCCTTTCCAATCTTCACCTTTAAGTGTCCTTTTGTCCTACGTACAATCAGTTTCTCCAAAGTCTAAACTCAGCTTTGGTATTTCCCTGCATCCTCCGTGTGGCAGATACGGGCTCTGGCTCAAACACACAATGGAAAAGAAAACAGCTGTGGTTTGTTCTGACCTAACTGGAGCCCTCTTTTCAATTTCATGCAGTTGTGGTTTAACCCGGCAGGCAGCTGCACACCACACAGCCATTCCCTCACCCCCCAGTGCTGGGGGAATGGGGGGGAGAGTTGTGAAGAAAACTGCAAGAACTTTTGGGCTGGGATAAGGGCAGTTTAATAAGTGTTATCAGCATTATTCTCATCCTCAATCCAAAACACGGCACCGTAACAGCTACTAGGAAGGAATTTAACTCTGTCCCAGCCAAAACCAGGACACATGCCTTGGCCCAAGATTTGTCTGCAATTGTAACTGTAGTCCAATGTAATGGTCTCCGGACAAATGTTGTGGTAAATGCCCAGGTGTGACCCTGAGCGGAGCCCAAATTAGTGGATGGCAACAGTGGGGACCCATTTGGGCTCTGACGTAGAACCTGGACAGCTAGCTGGCTTCAGTCTCCATCCTGCCAAGGGATTTTGTCACCTTGGGAGAGTCACCACAGGCACAGCTCCAGGTTTGGTGGCAATACCAGCTGGGGGTAGTCCTACCTGGTCCACCTGCACCTGTCCACATGAGTAATTCCCCAACCAGGCGTGCAGAGCAGACACAAAAGTGCCATAGCAGGCAGGCCAGGAATGGGTGTCTAGGAATGGGAACTGTACTGCTATCAAGAAGGAGCAGAGGGAACCAGGGAGTTAATCTGCTTGAACATCAACTCATCATCTGCTCAATGGAGAATGCAAGTTGGTTTTCAGTAGCAGGTGGTCTGAATAAAAGTGCTTACCTCTGAACTCATGTCAGCTAACTTAAATGAACTAAGGTCTACTCAATGCAGAAGATCAGCACATCCAAAATTTCTTGACCTTGGTGGACATTGACCTAATGTTCATCATGATGTTCACTTAGTTATTCCAGCTAATTTATTAATGTTGGGTGGCACAAATCTGGGCTTTAGTGGATTACAATCATTCCTGATGTACTTAAAAGAAAGCTCCATTAGTGACGTCTCCGGGCTCATTCATAAACTGATACTCCAGATATTCACTCTTCAGACCTATGAATATTGCTTGAATATTATAATGAGTTACAAAACTTTGAAACTCAGCCACGCACTAATTTTAGCCTTCAGAGGGACAGAAAGTATTGGGGAAACCAGTGTCCAACCTTGTTGCGGAAAGGATTCTGAACAAAGGGACAAACTTCATCCCATTACCTCACTGCCGGAGGGGAACTTCCCAGAAATTTTCCTGATGCAAGGGCAAAACAGCTATTCTTTCATCTTTTTCTGAGTCACGTCCACAGCACCTCTCCGGAATGTAAATGTGCCTGGTTTTAATGATGTGACAAGGTAATTAAGTGTTAATATGTGGATGCAAAGGGTATACAAGGTGCCAGATCTAGTAAATGCTGAAGCCAAGCTAAGGCGTTTACCAGACTTACAACACGTTTCTGATACAGGGTGCTAATGTCTGGAAATTGTTCCTGTTACAGAAATGAAATTTCCAGTAAAAGTCAAATAAATCGATTTTGTATTTGGCTTTTGAATATTTTTTTCTTCTAGCAAGCAAGCAGCCAGGAGTTGATCCCAGGCGCATGAAGAGCAATAGAAAAACTAGGACATAGCACTAAGAGTATTTATGACTATAGTGCTGGCAGGTGCCAGCTCAGAATTAGACATTTCCCCTATTCCCCATTAGCTCGATGAAGTTTGGATTATATGAGTCCACATATACAGACTTACGTTAAACATATAACAGAATTCTTCAGTTACAAAAAAAGCAAAATGACAGAAGGTTATACGAAAATTGTCTGGATGAATTTTGCCCCATACCTGGTCTTTAAGTATATGTAATGCAATGCAAATCTCTGATTTAAGCAATTGAACTGTACACAAACTCATTCAAAGTGCATGCTATTCTCTAAACAAACACGTCCTATTCAAATGCAAAAGCCTATCTATATTGTGGCAATAAAATTTCACATAACAGGCTCCCGGTTCTGTAAACTCAGGTGCTTGAGAAGCAGCTCACAGTTTGCTGGGCTCAGGACAACTACTGGGGGTGAAGGAGACATTCGCTGCAGGAGGCTGCAGGGTCACAGGCCCTGTGCAAAAACCACATAGGGACCATGTTAACTTGTTAACCAAGTGTCACCTTGGCCTTCTCCCAGCTTCACAGCCCACCAGCCGGCCCATTGGTCCCACCACATTTACACGTTTGACAGCTGTGCCACCAGCTGGAAAGCCTCTGCCTCTCCTGTAGTCATTGTCTTTTCTTTTGCTTTCTAATTATGCTTTTTAGAATCACGGTGCTATTACTTGGCACCATTTGGGTAACTGAGTGACACAACAAAGCAGTGGAAAATGATTTTTTTAAGTACGGGTATTTTGAAAGATCGGACGTAGATTGATGTGAGATGCCAAGAGGTTGGGCAGCATGGATTTGCAGCAGAAGAACGAAGGGAAGAGCAAAATCTTCAAGGTTAACATGAAGATGGCGGGTGACATTCTTCAGGATCTCTGTTTGTACAGCATCTGTATCGTTATGTCCCTCCTCACCCTTCTCATTGTTCATCAGTCCACTGACGTGGGGCAATGAATGTCAGCACGTATTAGACAGCAGCTTACAGCTGAGGGTCTCTTGCTTTTACAGCTAAGATGACCAATTGCAATTGTCTATGCTTACCCATGTACACTGGGCTGCCAGTACTCACAGCTAAAGAATCTGAATGTTTCTTTAGTCAGATACTCCTTGTTTCTGCGTGCCCTGTGTCTGCCTTGAAGGAAGACTCACCATGGTCCATACCTCACATAACTGCCCCATAAAAAACATATTCGCTTTGCAGAGATAGGTTATGAGTGATGCAGATAAACCTGTGGCCACCAAGTTCCTCTGAGAAGCCTCTGACACCCCTAGCAAGGAGTGACCATTAACTTCAAAGGGAAGAGGTCGGATGGCTCTGGAGCGGAAAGGGGAATTTCACAACCGTCACAGCTGGAAATGAGTCTCAGGTGTAATGCTGCATTACAGAACTGTAGTGTTTAATGTCTTTCGTCAGTTAAAAACTAATAAGAGGGTAGTATGGCTCTAAGTGTCTCGTCACCTAGGTGATTTTTTGGGGATGTTGCCTAAGTGGTTTCAAAAACCCTATCAATTCATACTTTTATAGGTTTACACCTGGCTTCACCAAGATGGTAATACCAATGTCCTCTTAGAGGAAGTCAGACTATAAAAGAAGGGACTGATTTTCTACAGAGCTAAGTGGCCATGCTAATTAGAAAGTTTAATAAAAAGGTAATATTTGTGCCATCATTCTTAATGTCCAAATGGAAAGACCTTCCAGGGGATACAATTTTCAGAAATCTTTGTTAAACAGTGATTTGTTTTGGGCACTCTAGACCAGAATACATCCAGACCACATTCCATCATAATAAACTGGTCAGAAAATCCTAGAAATGTGAGGGATACTGGCAAATTCTCTCTCTCTGATAGTGTGCTATTATAAATTAACGTTGTGTCACTGAATAAACCCAATGAAGGAAGCAAGGTGCTAGCTTTAGAAATCTCAGACATGATAAAGAAATTAAAAATAATATATATATATATTTATATGTTATTTATATATATCATATAAATATTATATATATAATATTATATGATATATATATATAATATAATATATATAATATATAATATATTATATATTATATATATATGTATTATACATATATTATTTATATATATTTTTATATATATAAAAGAAGGGGGAGTTGACAAGGGTCACAAAAAGACCAAAAAAAAAAACCAACAACACCCTGTCCCAATGTGCCAAAACAACCAGTCTGGAAAAGAGGGGACAAAAAAGCAATCAGACTTCCAAGAAACACCAACTGGCTCCAGCCTGGACAGGTAAATGAGCAATTTATGCATTCACCGAAGGATTGGCAAGAGTCCTACCATGGCAGCAACCTCCTCCCTAGCCCTGCTCTGCATAGCGAGGCTCTCTACCTATCCCAGCCCTAACCTGCAGAAAAGGAGGAGCTTTGCCCTGTCCATTCCTTATTTATAACTTGTCAAGAGCCAGGAGGGAGGGGTGAGCTCTCCGTGGTGCATCCTGCTGCTGCCTGCCTGCTGCCAGCCTCGCAATCACAACTACAAATGCCTCCTGTGCGAGGTGGTGGCTGCCTTCGCACTCTCGGGTTCCTCTGCCTGTTCACAGTGGTGGAAACAAAAATCAGAACCTACTACCTCGGGATTGTGGAAGAGAACTGGGACTATGCACCATCTGGGAAAAATCTGATCACGGGACAGAGCCTCTTGGAGGACAAGTAAGTCATCGGGGGCTTTCATAAACTGGAGAAAGAGTGAGGGCTCTAAACAAAATTGACTAATGTGGTTAATGTTGTTGTAAATGTCTTAAGATGGATGGCCTCTTCTCTTCTCTTCTCTATCTTCTTGCGAGAGTCTGTAAGGGAGCCAGAGGAGAGGAGGGGAGAGCGGCGAGGAGCGGAGAGGCGAGGAGAGGGAGAGGGATCTTCAGTTCTTTCTTCTATTCGTTAGTTCTTCTCTTCCTTCTCTTCTCTTCTCTTCTCTTCTCTTCTCTTCTCTTCTCTTCTCTTCTCTTCTCTTCTCTTCTCTTCTCTTCTCTTCTCTTCTCTGTTGATATAATCACAGACAGCATTTCAGCTTCTAGGCAAGAGGAGAATTTGTTTGACTTATTTCCATCTTACTTAATTAAGCCATGTAATAGCTATTGTGTATTTGAAGGTGATGCTAAGGAGCTGATATTTGCCAAAGAATTGTCAAAGAATTGTAGTGGATTACAGGATCACAGCATGGCTAAGGTAGGAAGGGACCTCTCGGTCCATCTGGTCCAACCCCCGCTCAAGTGGGAACATCCAGAGCAGAGTGCCCAGCACCATGTCCAGGCAGCTTTTGAAGATCTCCAAAGAAGGAAACTCCACGATTTCTATGGGCAACATAAAAGAAAGATTTTAGAACACGTTCAAAAGGGGGTTAAAAATCCCCTTTGTGTGTGTGTTTCATGGAGAGACAGGAATTTCTGGGACATGTTGTCCAAAGTGAAATTGCAATTTCACCGCAATCAAACACAAATCTCTGCAATGAGACGCAGAGGAGCATTTGACAGGCAAGCACCTGTGACTTTGCTCTTGGTGAGATGATAGAAATTGGGGGTTTGGTATGACTTTGTAAAGTTCAGATGTGTATAGTGCCTATGAATGAAATTCGAGACAATTATCCATATACTCCTGCAACATATGCGGCTGTGGAGACTTCAGTTTAGGACATCTGTTTAGTCAGGTGCTTAAACGTACAGCTGTGAATGATGACATTGAAGTCCTGTGCTGAAAATGGAGTGTGTAGGTAAGCTACATGATGAATCATGCCTTGGCCAGAGGAAAACAGGCAGACAGGCACCTGTCCTTGTGCCCTCATTGCTGGTGTTGGCTCCGTATCGCTGCCGTGCCAGGGCAGCTTCCCTGGACATCAGGTGGAGATGGCACAAACCCTCAGTGCCTCTCTACACTGTGGCCTTCAAACACTCCTGGGAGTATTTTTACGATTTGTCGAATATCTTTGACATCCCAGGGGTAGTTTAGGGGTCCTTCCTCTGAGTCTAGGCTTGGGGTTGGGATGGGAGCTTTGGGGGAGGGAGGAGGTTCTGGTGTCTGAAGGCACACTGGGAGCTCTGTGCTGTGTCCTGGAGTTATAAATGGAAATGTCCTTTCTGGTGCTTTAGGCAGAAGCAGGACTTTTCTCTAGTGGTTGGTAATTTCAGAATCACTATCAGTCAGATTTAATAAATGAAGAGTTTTTGCCACAAAAAGGAGACAAAAAGGAGTTTTATTTTTCAATAGTCTTATGCTTATGCAACAACTGGAGGACCCAGATAGCATCCAAGTCAACAAGTGTTGTCCTTTTAGGTAGAATACAGGGTAATATTTTGTTCCTAACCCATGAATAACATTGCTGGAAAGGTTATTCCTCTGTGTTGAACACTTGTGTTTCTCACTTCCCTACTCTTTTTGCCAGAGGATACCTTTCTCTCCTCCCTAAACTGGAAGATCTCTCACTGGAAAGAGATGAGCTTTATGTGAAGAGCTATTTTCTGTAAATCTTCCTTGATACTAGAGAAAAACATGGAACCTGTTCTGTAAAAAATACTTTTAAGTACCTGCACTTTGAGCTCCCTGAACACCAAGTGGCACATTTACCTTCAAGTAAGAGAGGTACTGGCTTTAGGTATTAACATCAAGGTACAGAGACCTTAATGTAATGCCTTGTTCTTGGCATGATAGGGAGAGATGATAGCTTATGTCTTCAGTTAGTGTTGTAATGTAATCATCGGAGAATGTTAATTCTAGAGGGATTACCCACAGAGGAAATGTAATCTGTATTTCAAGGCAGACTATACATTCAAAGTTTGGGAGCTGTTTGTGATGAACTAACTCCCCACGCGAAGCCTTCTACTGCAGAATAATAAAACCATTCCTGTAAATAGTTTACTCCATTTTCAAAGTGTATTAAGACAGAATGAACCTGCTGTATTCTGGAATAATAGTCTCTCTTCATAGGTATGTGGACTAAATTGTGAACCAATTATAGTTATGCTGAATATTTAGCTCTTTAATGTGGACTCTAATGTAAATTTAAAGCCATATACTGATGGTTTACCTGTCAGCTAACTAATTGGTTCCTATGGATAGTAAGAAAAATGCAATTCCACTAATGAAGTTTAAGGATCAGCTCCTAGGTAAGGGCAGGGATGCATTTTGAGGCAGCTGCGTTCAACAAGCAGCAACGCTCGGGCTCGCTGAGCTGAGCACTTCTCACCTTGTGATGCATCCTCACAACATCCGTCTGATGGGACACAATCCCAGTTTAATTGATAGGGAAGTGCAGATAAAGAGCTTGCATATAAACTGATTATCTTTAAAAGGGCAGGTGCATATACAAAAAGGAATGTTCCCTTTGATTCCAGCTAGCCCACAGAGATACAATCAAAACCACTTATTCTTTGCTCCTTAATAAAAATGCTGAATTAGCAATTGTGTAATGGAAAGTGTTACATTACCTGGATCAGATAGTGAGATTCAAAAGACGATTTTGATGTTGCTGTGCCAAAGCTGATAACATATTCCTCAGCCTTTGGTTCTTAGCAGCGATGAGGCTGCTTTACAGAAAGCAGACCTCGGCAGCTGAGGCATGGGGCTGAGCTCAGGGAGCGGGCTCTGGCACAAGGCTGCTTGGTTCCTGCTGTGCTGGCGCTGAGTGAGCTGCCTGCCCAGCCAGAAGCCGTGGAGCTGCCTCAGCACCTCCCTGGGCGTGAGGTGAAAAGTCTGCCTCTCGTCAGAGCTGATTAACCCGAACGCAGCCCCGTGTTAGCGTAACTATCCTGCTCGAATGTTAATTTTGATGATGATTTGTGTTGCTGCCATGCTCAAGGGCCAGCCTGCTGCTTGCATGGAGCAAGTATCTCACTGCACATCAGTGCTTCTCATGTAAAGACAATAATGAGGCTGCTCACCTCTGCCCTTTCTCTAGTCTGCTTGAAGCCTCGAGCTGTTCCACTGATTTTCATAATTTGGATTGTTGCAAACGGGACTAAAACATTTCACTCTCAGTTCTTCCTTCAAACATCAAGCTGGCATTTTCTGAAACCCACAGGACTTTGGAAAATAAAGATACATCCAAATTACAGCCACTGAATACAGGTGGGAAGGTTTTTGTCATCCCCTCCCACCTGATATAACTGGTGGAAGGTTTGACATCGGTTTACCACATCCACATGGCGGACTGGCCATGCAGGGTGCAGGGACCTGCCAGTGCTGCTGGACGTGCTGCAGAACCCCACGAGATGTTGTGGGTTAGGACATGGATATTGCTGCAGCAGGAGGGTGAGCTCAGACACTGCCTGCTCGCTTTAATGGCCACAGAAGCAATGGCCTTTCAAAATAAAAATGTACTTGGGTGTTGTGGCTTGACATACATTAGTCTTTCCCTCCCTATTGTGGCTCAGCCCTCAGGATTAAAGTTTGGTTGATAATCCTTTTAAATTAATTTTAGTGCTAGTTTATATGATGGGCACTTAAATCTTGCTCTGCTGGTGGTAGATGTTATTAAGTTTGCCTGATGTAACCACTCATCCCCTCTCCTTAGGCCACCAAAGTTACATTTATCTGGGCTAAATCTTGCACCCACCAACACTAACGGGTAGTTTTTGTTACCGCAGCATCAAACACAGTTTGTGCAACTTGCCTACAAGGAGATCCCACCCAGATAAATGACGGTAAAACTGTCATCACAGATGCTAAACTAATGGCTGAGTAATTATGCGGCCAAATGACCCAATTGCGTCAGCAGAGAACATCACTGTGGGAAGGGTCAGCACCAGAAGGGCACGTAAGGTGAAATCCTTGTCACTGACTTCAGTGGAAGAAGTTCATCCTAGGAGAGAAACCATTATATCCATACTTAACCAGTGACACTTCAGAGCCTCGTTTAGAGTTTTTTTGGGTTTTACTGTCCTCTTCAGTTACCATTGTGGGTCAGAAAAGGTCTCAAGTGTTTTCTGAGGACATTGTGCTTCTGTCGTTTGAGGACACACAACTCATCTTGTTTGATGGTGTGTGGTCAGGGCACCACCTACACAAGTGAGCTGGTACTGCTGGTCCCCCTCCACCGGCCACCCCTCTGGCACAGACATTGCTTTGGCCATTCTGTGGGAGCCATGGTCTGGCAGAGGGTTACTCTGAGTACGTTGCATGACCCAGGGGTTAAAATGACAGGAGAACCATGGGCACTGTCGTAGTTTACTCCAGCCATGAGAAAACTGGAGAATTTTTAGGGAAAAAAAGTATGGTAAATTCAGACATAGAGTATGCAAAGAGGGTAGCGAATAAGGTTTCACCAACAGATTTTGGGGAACAAACACGTAAGAGTATTTGCATAAATGACTGCTGTTGCAAAACCTATGGGACTTTGGTGGAGCAATAACAGGAAAAGAAAATTTGGGTTTACCTACGGTTGCACCCAGGAACATGCAGCAGCTGTTGGGCACGTTAACTGCAGGAGAAAATTCAAGACTCCTCATCTGGTAGTTGTTGGATGTGTTGATTTTTCAGTGGTGATTATGATGACAAACCAACTCAGCAGGCTTCAGAGTGTATCAGAGAGGGATCTGGCTCTGTGTCCTGTAGTGTTTGCTTTGCTCTGCACGGTGTGTAGCTGTCTTCATGTACACTGTAACGGGGTACTCACATAAGCACCTTAGGAAAAATATAACCTCTATTAGATTGTATCTCTGCTCATAAAGATCCCAGGTAACATAAAAAAGGTAAAAATCTATTCAAAGTACATTTTCTGTGTGATAAAAGGAACAGGTATAAAAATTACACTTAACTCATAGCCCTTCCCTGAGATGGCAGAATATCTTCATGTCTGCTCTTGAACCCATTGAAGAAGAGTCTACACAATGCTCTTATTTCACCCTTTCTCTCATTTGGAAGAGTTTTAATGTTCATCACTGCAGATGGAAGGGCTGCTGTAATTACATTAATACAATTTTTTAGGAATTAGAGTTTATCACCTGTTAATAATTCCCTGTCCCACTCATGTACATTGCCATCTTTTCTTGGAGCTTAAGAACTGCTGGGAATGGTCGCTAGGAGAAAAATGAAATCAAGCAGAGAAATAACAGAAGGATCTGTATTGTTTTCCTGGTCTGAACAAGATCTTTTTATGCCTTGATTTACAAGCTCCCTTACCTCTATACGTACCCTTAAGACTGCCTGGTTACAGGAAGAAAAGGAAGGACCACTGAAGAATTCCTGAGGGAACTTAGGAAATTTGCATGGGTACAACTCCAGGGGATGGAGGGCTCTTCTTCCCTACAAGGAGTAGGACTGGCTGATCATTGAAGAACTGGATGAAAACCGAGTTGGAGGGAGACAGTCAAGGTTCAGAAGAGCAGCTCTTACATCTGCACAAGATGTGACGGATAAAAGAGGTTCAGGCAGTGATATCACAAAAGCACGATGAGGGTAAAGTAAATTTGAAGTGAGCAGGAGAGCATGAAGAAACAGGGAATTTAGCCTGATTGCAGCAAAAGGAAAGTGAGAGATAGGAGACATTTTGGCACAGGGTGCCCAGTGGAATAGGCACATCATGATCACTAGAAGAAAGAGGCAAAGGCAGATTTAGAGAACTGGACATGTTTAACTAATACAGCATTTGAAGAAGTTGCTGCTACAATAATGTATTGGAAAATCATTGAGTGGGAAAGAACAAAGCAGGAGATGCAGGGGAAGGGGATGTTTAATGAGATGGCTAAAAATGTGAAGTGCTTCTCAAAGAAGTAGACACCATCAGAAGAAGACAGGCAATGGTCTTTGAGAATGCTTTTGTCAAAGATGCAAGTTGAAATCCTGCAGCACAGAAAATCTTGGAGGGATTCTGGAGATGGGAAGGAACCCAGGAGTGGGAGATGCACTGATGCATCTGGGTGCACTGGTGCAACACCAGCATTGGAGACTTCGCACTGAGAAGATGCTCTCACTGGAAGAAAGAAGACAGGGGAAAAACCTCTGTGTCCCACAGGTGGAGCAGCAGAGGACATGGGACCAAGCCTGTGCCAGCTCCCTCTGACACATCCTCTGGCTGCACTGAGGCACTGGGTAAAAGTACCAGCCCCACAGTGTGCCCACATGAAGTGACCAATTGTTTCAGCATCTGGGGGTGCAAAGGAGAAGTCACTAATGCCTGTACATCCTTTCTATGCGATTTCTGTGGCTGATACTGTTAGTTCCAGTGTGGGCAGTCTTTATGCAAAGGACTGTAATGTACAGCACAGCAACCCATGTAAAGAGTTTCAGAGAGCTACCACCTACCTGAAAGGCCGAGGTGGGCACCCCAGAAGTCCTCCTGGATGAAACAGGGAAGCCTGGACACCTAGAGTGGGACTCACAACAACCAGCGTGCTCTGGTCTCAGGTGGTGGAGGGCAACCAAAAGGGCATGCTGAAAATAAGTCTTTGTATAGGCAGAAGTGGGATCCTGTCATTCCCAGACAGAAGGAAGAGTGAGGCTGAAGTGCATGCACTTCAAGAAAGTCCCAGGGCATCATCGGTGCCTTTTGGGCAGGAAGCTTTTCTGCCCTTTGGAAAGTGTGGATGTGGTAGGAAAGGGAGCTATGGATGAGCTTGAGTCCAGAACACAATGGTAAGAGCATCCGTGGGGTGTGGATATTTGTCTCCCAGAATTGATTAGTTGTTTTCTCTTAGACTGTGGTTAACTAAAACCCATAGCTAAACAGACCCAAGAGAGTAAGTTTCTGCTTCTGTGCTCTGATCCCTTGCTGGCTCCATGACTTTTGCATGCCCTGATGCTCAGCATAGAGGAGCATCACCTGCTTTGTGACTAGCTGTAGGATACAGGCAGTGGGCTCTGCAGCTCTGAATGGATGGGTTACTTGAATGGACCTCATTTCAGAAAACTGCCATTAAAAATACTTTTTTTCCTACCTCCTAGATGTCTTTGAATAGGGCACAGATCTGCCCAACAGAGATGATAGCTAAGTTTACCTGTTAGCACAGCTTTAGGCACCAAGGAAACCTGCAGTGACTAAACCTGCAGGGTGATTTCCTGAACCTCAATACTTTAATGGGCTTTGGGTTCCCCGTTCTGTGCATTTATAGGAGCTAGACTCGTGTCAAGCATCTGAACATGCCTGGCCAAGAAGTGTTTGGTTTTTCTGTAATAGAGTTCTGCAGAGCAGAATATGGGAGAGCATGCAATGTTGTCTGGCCAGATAGCCAGGGCCATAAAAGCACTGTCATCATGGGTGAAGCAAGGTGCCAATGCATTGCTTCATGTAAAATATTTGGCTGTTTATAAAACTGGGGAAAAAAAATGCTGAAAATAAGTACTTTGTGGAAAAAAAAGGATCTATTTGAGTTTTTTTCCCTAGAGAAAATTTCTTTTAAGCCATTCTAAACACCAATTTATAATTCGAATTAGGGCACAGCCACAGGAATACATTGCCATGAGGTAAAGCAGCATGGGCGTTCACACTGCACTGCTACTACCACCACCTACTACTCTGTGGTAGCAGCTCTTCCCCCAGGCAGTGGAAGGTATCTTCTCCTGGGCGAGCACAGGGTGACTTGCCAGGTCTCGCTGTGCACACAGAGTTACCACAGAGCTGCTAATTTGCTGAAGATCCAGACTTCTTGGCAGCTCACTCCTTAACAACATTTTTTTGGCGGTGTATTTATCTAACATATTTTGTTTGGTGATGAACCAGGCTGAGAAGCTTCTGTCCTTTCCTCTCTGTTTTAGGCAACTGTTTCTGCCACAGCGGTGCCACTGGCAATGCTTTCATTTGTACCAAAATAGCTCTTGAGGAGTCTGTATTATAAACCACATTTTTCAAATTAAAAACCATTCTTTTGGGAGGCTTTCAGATTTTTATCACTTCAGTGATCTGGTTTAGGCAGTGGCCACAGGGGTGGAGAGGCCATGCTTGGGGGATGTTGTGAGTTACCGTGTCAGGTAGAGATGGCTTGATAAAGGGGAGCATTGGATCTTATAGTGAAGAAATTATAGGAAATTATACCTTTTAGCTCCCGTGACATCCAACACTGATGCTGTTGGTAGTGTACAGAAACGGCAAAACAGAATGTGTTTAAGAAGGTGAACTGATCAGTCACAAAAATTCAATATAAATATGGAAATACGATGTTTCTGCCAGTGATACATCAGGAAAACTTAGCTCAACTTTTTAATGAGTTTGTTTTAGGAAGTGTAAAAGTTCAAGCAATCTTCAAGGGATGCAAAAACTCATGGAGCAGTCAACTATGTTGAAGTTGGTCATGCAGTCCACTCCTGGTTCTGTGGCAAGGGAGGTTATTTGGACACCATGTGGGATACTTAGGGATGAAGAGTGTGCATCGTACTTGTCAGATGTATTCTAGAGAGAAGTAAAAAAGATTTAGCATCATGACAGATGGGCTAAACATTGGTTGCCAGTATGAAATTATAGTTAAAAGGGCAAAATTAATTTATAGTTTTATAAGAAGTATTGACAGGGAGCACCTCCACCTTTAACTGCAATATTACTTGCATATTATGTGAAATTCTTGCGTTCAGACTTCAAAAGAGATAGAGCAATATTGGAAGGCTTTCAGAAAAGAACATCAGGGAAGGTTTGTGGCATAAAGAATGCCAGTGCATTTGGTTTGTCCAGAAGAAAGGTAGGAGGCAGTTTAATCAATTAATTAAAACTTGTGCAAGTGTCTGCCTAGAAAATAAATTCCTGATGGTGTGTGGCCTCTTTGATCTGAGACAGGTCATGATGGGAACCAGTTGTTGGAATATGGATCTAGGTGATTTTAGACTGCAAATGCAGTTCGGGATTCAAAGGGAGCAGGAATTTAATAGCCACAACATGTCAGCCACTGACCATGTGGTGGGTTCTCTGTCACTTGAAGTTGCTATAAAATGTGGGTTCTGGGAAGTAGAAATTATGCCTTTCATGCAAAAAACACCTTATGCTACTCTTATGGGTTGCCAAACTAGTTGATTATAATTGCTCTTATTGGCTTTAGAAAAAAACTTTGAATTAATTTGTTTTTCTTCTCCTGCACAGTCATGCATTTAGATGTGAGGTTTTGCTCTTGCGAAAGAGTGAGAAGGTGCTAAAACTGTACAGAAAGTCCTGGGTGGCTGGTCCTCAAGTGAAGACTTGTTTGTAGTACCTGTGTAGTACCCATGTAGTACCTGCAAGCAGGATAAGTACTGCACAGGAAGGGACTTGGACTCTGATAGCGTTGTCCAGGTTGACTCCTCACTCTTAGATCCACTAGCTACGTGATTTGTCCCTGGGAACTATTATCTGCACTGTAAGCACCTGTTATTTGATCAACTCTTCAAGGAATTTTTAGTCTCTAAATTATTTTCTCTTCTCAATGCCAGGTTTGCAAGTGTGTATGCAACAAGAGGAGCCAACCGCATAGGGCGTGTGTACAAAAAGGCTATTTTTAGGCAATTCACCGATGACACATACTCCCAGGAAATCCCCAAAGCAGCCTGGCTGGGATTCCTCGGGCCAGTCCTGAAGGCAGAAGAAGAGGATGTCTTTATTGTCCATTTGAAAAACTTTGCTTCCCGTCCATACTCAGTGCATCCACATGGGGTCTTCTATGACAAGGACTCTGAAGGTAAAAGCTGATTTGCCCTTTCTCCTTTCTCTTTTCTTCTCCATTTCCCCTGGAGTAGCAAATGTCAGAGCTAAAAGCTGGTCCAAGTATTTATTGTTCTGGCCATTGACATCAGAGGACTTTAGATCACCCTCTCATAAACCCATCAGTAATTGCAACTGATGACTAAAACCAGGCACATCCTCATTTCTTAAAACTTTTGCCACAAACCTTTGACGCCTGGGATGAATCCAACACTGAAACAGGTTAGGTGGGTCTTTTTTTCCCCTGAATTATTTTCCTGAATTATTAGTCACAGGAGTATTTTCCTTCCTTCTCTCTACTTCTAGCCTGTTGAATAGACAGAGTTCTTGTAAGTCAATGTTTTTTTTTCTCTTTATAAGTGTGTAACATACATGATATAATTTTCAGAATCTCAAACTTATGCATGTGTATTTTGGTTAGAGGTGTATGGATTTGCCTACATTTATCACTTTCATCAGCTTTCTGTGAGAAGATGTATAATTTAAGCTGACAAGATGTGTATGTGTTTGTTTGATGAGAGTAAAGAGACATGGAAAAACTAAAGCCTGTCTTTTAAAAGCTTCATCTACTGATAAGTAACTGATTTTAACTGTCAACAGTTTTTGACTGTTTTTACCAGAACGTCTGAAACTTTTCACAATTTCTCAGTGATTCTTTGTTTGTGAGTGTTGTTTATTATTTTTGAAAGCTCTGATAAAATAGAAGGAAATACACATTGATTTAAGGAAAATGGTTAAGGGGGAGCTAAAAGCTTCCTTTTTTTATTTTTATTTTTTATTTTTAATGTATTAGGAGCGCTTTACCCAGATGGAACCGGCGGTAAAAGCAAAGAGGACGATTTTGTTGTTCCCGGTGGAAATTACACGTACACATGGCCAGTAAGGAAAGATTATTCCCCAACTTTGGCAGACTCAAACTGCTTGACTTGGATTTACCATTCTCACATTGACACACCAAGAGATATTGCATCTGGTTTAATTGGGCCACTGCTGGTTTGTAAAAAAGGTACTGAGCTAGAAACACTGACAAAGCAAGCCCCTCTGCCAAGCTTGGCATCTTAACAGTCATTTTTGCTTACAGGTATAAACATGATGGTCTAGAGTCTATCCCTACATAGCCCATAAAAAGGGGCAAGGAATAGCTGGGCCATTCCAGGAGCACCCCAGGGTAGGTATTGTAGCTCTGGGACAACCCCCTTCCTGCTCCCCTTTAGCTTCACAAGAGATTTGCCTCGGCTGGTGGAGGGACTGCAGCATGCTCTGTGGCCAGCTGGGCATGGCTGAGGCCAAAAATAAACGTTCCAGAACCGGGATCATTTCAGGACAAGCGAAGGACTCATTGCCCAGGAAGTGAAATTAGGGCTGGGTTGGTGACTTCGGCATTGGTATTTACATACTTGAAACCCCAATGTTCCTCGTCATTTTTTTTTTTTCCCTTATGGATTTTTGCATATAAGTTTTATATCACAGCCATATGGGAATGTGCACTGAGCAGCTGAGGTCACAGCCTGTCCCGTGTACTTATAGCCTGAAAATTTTGGAATCACGTATCAACTCTCTCCCCTCTGTCAGCTGAGCCATCGTCCCCTCTCCACCTGGGACATGTGTAAATCTGCCACCTCTTTCCCGTATCTGCTGCAGTACAAAACCAGCCCTAACTTTATATAAAGAAGCAGTTTTTATATATTCAGAAAAAAGGAAAGACTTCAGTGTGGAGAGGACAGGTATGCAGTCCAGCTTTACTCACAATTAAGATGTCTCAGACTTTTTTCCCTTGGGGAACTTCCTGAATATGTGAAACCAAGCCAATAGCTTTAGAATAATGCATGAAGCTAGGAGATAGCATGTTCAAAACAATCCCAGCCTGGAAGGCCAGCTTATCTGCATCTTGGGTCTTGACTTTGTCAAGGTGGATATCTGCACAATGCCACTGCTTTAGGCCTCCTCCCTCTGTTGGTGGTGGGTGGCTCCTTACAGGGCTGACAGCAAGGCTCTGGGGCTCCATCCCAGAGGACACTGGGGAAGCAAAAGGTTTTTAAGGGTTCAGAGGTAGGCTGTACAATTAGATGCAATATGAATCCCTCAATGGTTAATAAGAGACTACCAGTGTCACCACTCCTATAATCTCAAGTTGTCCCCCAAATGGTCCCTCAGATACCAATACTCAAATTAGATTGAATAGATTGTACTCATCCTGTCTTAAGGTTTCTAAAATTTAAATAACTTGTCCTAGTTAATTGTCTAGGCTTCCTCACTAGTCCATGAGGAGTGAGCCACATTTAGCCAGCTGTTCTGAGGGTATGCTCCACAAGCTGCTTCCATGCAACAGAAATGTGGGCTACCACTTGCCTCTCCTTAATTCCTGGACAAAACTAAAGTCACTGGTTTCCAGCTGGATCAGGCTTCTGATCTGCCTCACTGCATAGCTACACAAACACCAATACTGATCAACGGGCAGGGTTGGGGACAGTGGGAAAAAGATGGAAAAAATGGGACCACAGCTTTTGGCAGCTGCTTGTGCTTATGTCGTATCAGCAGATCATTAAATATCAGCTTGACTTAGGTGAGATGAGCTGCCTACTGGAGGCACCCATCTGCTGAAAGGCTGGGGGGGGGGGTGAAGGTGTCTTGGAGGAGCAAAACTAGGTGAGAGTCAACTTGCCCTGTAGATAATGGGCAGACCACTGTATGTCCTTGAATGCTCCAAAGTTACTGTCAATTTTTTTTTGCATTCAATCCCCTCCAAGGCTCTTTTTAGCACTTTCCTTTTCGTTTGCAATTTAGGAACTGCAGATGAGACCTCAATAGAAAGGACTGGTGCTGCTAATGCTTTTGCCCTGATGTTTAGCATTGTAGATGAAAATTTCAGCTGGTACCTCGATGAGAATATAAAGACTTTCTGCTTAGAACCAGCAACAGTTGACAAAGACGATGACGGTTTCCAGACCAGCAACCGAATGCATGGTGAGCAGGACTCTTGAGCAAATAGTGACCTACAGCAGTGATCAGGCTCTTTTCTTTTCACTAGGACTTTCTGTCTCTTGCGGTATCTCTTCTTTATCTGTGACAGCCTGGAATGGTTTGGGATGTTGAAGTACTGTGCTGATAAAAGCCTCTCCCTAAACACAGTACAACACACTGGTTTGCAGTGAGGAGATTCAACTTTCACATCCAGCTCTGTCAATTGTTTAGCATTTTATCTTAGGCAACAGACATAAGCCTTTTGGTGACTGCTTGACCAGCTGTGAAAAGAGAAAAGGAGGCTGCAGAGCACTTTGAGATGTGTTTATTCCAAGAGTCCAGCATTTCTGGCTCTTGAAATGGCCTCAGGACTGGTGGGCTGGCTGGTACTGCTAGTCCTGCCCTTCAGAGATCAGTGGGACAGTAGTACTTTGAGCTATTTAGAGACCTGGTGTAAGAAGTTAAATCCAGAAATTTCTCAGTATTTTGGTTGTTCCATGGAGCCCAGGAGCTAAATTATTTTGCAAAATATGAGTCTTTTTCTCCTGAAGTTCTCCTAACTTCAGATAAGGAAGTGGAGGAAGAGAGAGCTGACTAAGACTGATTTGTCTGATACCATAATTTTCAAATCTTAATTGCTTGAGCCAGCTATATAATAGCTATTTATGACTCAGAATTAAAGGGAATAGATTCCAGACATCCTAAGTACCTGCAGAACAAATTAACTTCGTTATCAGGACTTTTTGTGATGACTGGGCCTTTGCAATACCTTGTTATGAGTCAGGAAGTTTCTCATAGACTCAGACAGAGAATTTGGGCCATTTGATCATCCTAAGCTGTTATCTGGCTGTTTAAAAATGTTATTCTCCATCAGGGATCCCATCAGTACCTTATTCAGCTGGGGACTCAGTGTGGACATTCATAGACTCTTTTCCAGGAAAGGATCATGCTTAGAAAGGAGGTCAGAGGAACCTGGCACTTGTCTTTTCCCTCTCATAAAGTCTTCCACTTTTGTTTTCAGCTCTTAATGGTTATATTTATGGAAATCTCCCTGGCTTGGAGATGTGTGCTGATACTCCCATGTCCTGGCACTTGATTGGCATGGGAAGCGAGATTGATATACACGCTGCGTATTTCTACGGCCACACATTCACCAACAGAGACCAGAGGGCAGATGTCGTCGGTCTGTTCCCAGCAACATTCATCACAGCAGAAATGACCCCTGGGAGCCCCGGGAGGTGGTTGATAACTTGCCAGGTTAATGAACATTTGCGAGGTATGATGCTATAGATCTTCCTGATCCTATGAGATACAGAATTTCCAGCCTCCAACATGACAGGAAAAGAAAACTGAGAGATGTTTCCAGTGGAAGCATGATTTGACACTTATTTTCTGACTAACTGAACGCTTGAGAACTATTTCATCAGAAAAACATCGTGAGTTTAGTCTCCAGTGAAAATTATGTATGTTGGCCCAAATATTCAGATAGAATGAATAACTTAACTTTGTAAATACAGGCAACTAATGTGAGAACAGCATGGTAGACCCAGTGCTGACACAGCAGTTTCTATATAAATTACAGATTTTGATGGTCATTGAGAAGATCTTTCATCATCATTTTTTTGTAGTAGATTAATGTGTACACTTTAAGAAATATGCCAGATGAAACCTTCATAGATTTTTTTATAGAAGTCAGACAAAAATTAGCGATGTGTTCAGAAGCTTGGTAAGACACCTTTACTTGAAGGAATTTGATGATGATGATGTTGTATTTGTGTGGTGTAAGAATCTGAAAACCACATATCATAAACTACATGTAGGTTTGTGATAGCAGGAACTGCATAATTATAATATCAGAAACAGCTACAAGGTGTGAAAATTTTTACTTTTAAGAACTTCTGTGTTCACTTCAGTGGGATTATTATTAGGCAGAGAGACTTGATTCTGTCTAGCAACTCCTTCAGTGTGCCAATAATAATAAGCCATAATAAACCAAGCTCTCTATTTCAATGGAAGTCAGGGGGAGGTGATGCCATGTTGCACATTTCAGGAGGCACTCTGATCCCTCAAATCATTCTATCATCCTTACCCAGATTAAGGAACTGAGTAAATAAGCCCACTAAAGAATGTCATAGATTTCAGTGGATTTCACCTGTGGGGTGATGTACCACTTGTGAGAGGAGGGTGCTAGCGTCTAGCTCAGAGTAGACAGAAGTCTCTAAAAATAGAAGCTTACCCAAATGATCCTAGCCACTTTTTCCAATCCACATAGCTCCTGCCTAGAGGGTTCTGAATGTTCACTTATACCCACAAGTTTGCTGACTCTGCAACTGGCCAAGGACTGTCTCCAGACTCTTTCTCCTCCCAGGTGGCATGGAGGCACTGTATGATGTACAGATCTGCAAAGAAAAACTGTCTCAGCCTTCACCAGTCAGTCACAAGAGAAGATATTATATTGCTGCTGAAGAAGTGCTCTGGAATTATGGACCTGACGGTTATGATAAATTCACTGGGCAGGGCTTAAATGCCACTGGCAGGTAAGCTTTCTCATCCTCTCCTGTTGTGCTTAATTTCGAGAGTCTGGGTGAGACTTCCACAGTGATTCACCAGGGCTAGGTCCTGCACTGTTATTAATTTTAATTGAATGAGGCAGGGAGGATTTAAACAACCTTGTTGAGAAATTAGATTTGTAACTGTGATGCTTAGGAGTTGCCTTCTGGAAGCACTTATCTGTCTCCATCGTTAAGTCCATGGAGAAAGTGAGCCCTGATGAGGCATGAAAAGTTCAACAGAATGGAAACCCTTACATCAAGATTCCTTTGGCAGCTTTCACACTTGAAATTGGTGTATCTCAGAGGTGCTATGATGGTAGATTTCCCCCCCTTGTTATAACTGATGGAGATGAATTGTGTTAGAGTATCTCCCAGGAAAAGTAAAGAAGATTAAAGATGAATTGTGCACAGGTAATAGCACTGGTCTTGCCCTAAGGTAGTTAGAGGTAAGTTGACAGAGCACTTGTCCTAAGTAAGTTGAAATTAAACACATGGAAGTCTAATACACAATGAATACCCATTTGTTAACTAATTTGTAACTGTAATTCAGCTCAGTAATGTTTAATCTAGCCTGCTGGAAAAGTGTATGCAAACTAGTAACTTGGAAGGTCATTTCTCCCATGTCTGGGGTAATAACTTTATCCTAAAGAAAGGTTTCTGCCCGAACCTCTAGTAATTTAACCAGTCTGATTTGTTAAATCCACAGTGAATCTGCAATTTATTTCACACAAGGGACTGACAGAATAGGAGGGCAATACTGGAAGGTTCGCTATGTGGAGTATACTGATGCAACATTCAGTAAAAGGAAGATTCAGCCAAAGAACATGAAGCACCTAGGAATACTTGGTATGGTGAATGTTCTCCCATCCTTTGGAAGCAAAAGTCCCCTTGAATCCAGTGGGAAATTTGGGGCATTCAGCTGCTAGTCAGTGCTGTCTAGTTTAGATAAAATTACATTTGTTGGTGGTTCTAACGCCTTCCGTAACTCTCTTTCTTTAAGGTCCTGTAATAAAAGCTGAAGTGGGAGATACAGTGCTAGTTACATTTGCCAATAAAGCCAAAAGGAGCTACAGCATTATGGCCCATGGCGTAAGCTTCAGCAAACTGTCGGAAGGAGCTCCCTACTTAGATGGTAAGTTTTGACTGAACTGCTGTATTGTCACATCCAGAATACTTGAGTCTGCAGATCTGCTCCTGTTGCTCTGTAGCTTTGCCATTTTTGTGGGTATTAAGGAATGGAAGCGGTGATTTGGTTTAGTTTGTGTCTACCCTACGTGTCACAACCTGAGGGACCCCCCCAGTCTGCCTCTGTACAGGTTCTTCCCCTTGAACATGTGCCAGACAGGGTCACTGAAACCAGCTGAGGTCCATCTGTTAATTTTGAGTACAAGTCAAAAGCCCAATCCAAATTACTTTAGTTCTAATCTAATATCCCTCATCCCATCAGTGGACCTACTCTGAACATGCTCCAAAAATGTTGCTTAGGATCTGGCATGATAACCCTGCTGAGTTTTTGTACAGAGCTGTCTACATGGTCTGGGCTGCTTCACACCTAGATCCTCTAACGGAGGCCTGGTATTCCCCTTCCTTCATGGCCAGCATAGTCAACAACCAGGCATCTTTTATCAGATTGACACAGAATGTGAAGCAGCAACAATTCTTATTAACCCTCATAACTAGGTAAATGCTAGAACAGAGCATTTACCAAAGGCTTCCTCCCATTTTGTGCAAAGATGGGATCTTTATCATCTAAGTTTAACCATTAAATGTAAGGTGTCATGTCTAATTGGTAGGCAACTTCTTCAGTCAGAGGCAAAAATCAACCTCTTCAGAGGGTGAGAAGTCTCGTTTACTTTGAACACCTGTTTTAGGAGACAGTAGGTCATGCCTGGAAGTGTCTCTGTTTCCCTTGACTACCAAAGGAACCTAGATTAGGGTTAGAGCACGTGTCCTAGCTTTAGAGTGCTTTTGTTAGATGAGCTGAGGAACCAAAGAGAAAGTTATCCTTCTTGTTGTCGTAATTGTTTTGTTTCCATCGCAACGTATCAGAAAGGAACACCCAGGACATAATCCCTCTTTTGAGGACTGTGCTAAGAGAATTAGGTCAGCATGCAAAACTCATAAAAGCATACAATAACATCGACACAAAAGGCTTGAATCAAATTCTGTTGTCTCTAGTTGCTGACCTTGCAATGCAACAAAATTGTTAGCAGGCCAAGCTGTATCCTGAAACATCAGGGTTCACTTTGGCCTTGAATTTACCTGTACACATCCTAACATCAGATATAATTTTTCTGATGGAAAAGCAGATCCTTCTTTCTGCTCACATTCAGTCCTGTTGTGCTTTCTTTTAAACCTCCATGGTAATAGCATCCATCCTCATTGCACCCTTCAATGTGGAGCAAAATCAACCCAAACCCTACAATTCAGCAGCAGCATGAGCTGCACACTTCTGGGTCTCTGGAGAGGAAACTGACTCCAGATTTATCTCTTCCTGATAATCTTTTTGCCCTTCTCTCTCCATAAGCCTAGTGTCTTGGATTTCCATCATACCCATCTACAAGAGTATGTAGGTATGGCCCCTACAGAGGCTGCAAGTTTATAGTGAGGGACAATGATTTTTCTAAGCCTGTGCTTTGTCTGAGTGTAGATTATTCACATGAAAATACTGTACATAAATATGCATAAGGCTTATCAAACTTTTTTTCAGTTGTGCTCTCAGTAATATTCTTCCATATTGCATATAACACTTGTCCAATCTCATTATTATTTTTTCTCTCCAAATCAATATTCTTCTCCATATTGAGCACCATTGCAGGATTAATTTAATAGCATCAGATACCATTGCAGAAGTACCCTGCTTTGTATCGCAGCTTGTGGCAGATTGTATGTGTTTAAATATTGATATTTTCATTCATGTCTAAGTTCGTAACAGGATTCTTCATGAAGCACTCCAGGGTTTTGGCAGCACACAGGGAATCAAATCAGTGCAGGCTGCTGCTGACAGAAACATCTGATTGTGCTGAGAAAACCCAGCCAATAGGTGCCTCAGCTTAAAATAAAATTTCTAGTTTGATCTTCCTCACAGCAAAGAGTAAAAGGGTTATTTAGTAATTTTTTCTTCTGAGGGTGCAGGGCTGACCCCTTTTCCAAACGTTCATTTCCAGTCCCTTTTATGAGTCCTCTCTCTGTGAATACCGACACCCTTTTACAGTGGCTAAATTACATGAGTGATACTACAGGCACCCCATGCCGGGCAGCAGACAATCACCCCAAATTAGCTTTTAAAGAAAGTGGTAGCAGCCACCCTTTGGAGACTCTGACAGAGGTTCCTTGCTGCAAAATCAAAAAGAAGCAATTACCAGGATGAGATTTGTGCCAAATTTCTAAACAGTCACAACTGCAGCCCCACTCGCTGAGGTAATTGCTTCGTGGTGCTTAATGAAAAGCCAGAGTCTGCATTCGTACCTCAGATGAATCTCACGATAAGGCAGGAAAGCTACAGACATTAGAGGAAGCCGTTTAAGAGCAAGGATGAGCTCTGCACGTCTGGTCTGACAGAATCCAGATCCTCCAGATAGCATCGGGCCGGTGTCTGTGTGGTGTAGCTGAACTTGTTCTGTGAGGAACGGCTCAGTGTGTCCCCAGGGCACTGGGCTCTGGCGAGATGTCCCCATGGCAGAAGTCACCAGCCCACAGAATGGTGCTTGAGCTGTGGTTGCAAGGGAGAGCCCACCTGCAGAAAGCAGTGGCTACGTCTGACCCCCAGCCAACGCTTGTATTCTGGAGGACATAACCTTCCCGTGACCTGGGTGCTTCTCAATTTTCTCTCTGCAGGATATATGAAGCCAGGAGCCCACGTTAAGGCAGGTGAAACCTTCACGTACAAATGGAGAGTGCCTGAAAATGGAGGTCCAAGTGAGAACGACCCACCGTGCCTCACCTATCTCTACTACTCAGCCACTGATGCCGTCAAGGACACCAATTCTGGCCTGGTGGGGCCTTTGCTGGTCTGTCGGAAGAACGTGCTGAATGAGGACGGGACGCAGGTGCTCAGCTGGTCAGATGGACCCAAAAGAGCAGGGTAGTGGGCTGGGGGGAGGTGGCCTTATGGGCCAATTTTCCCAGCTCAGATTGAAGAGGTTAAACAAATGTCATTCCTCAGATTAAAAGCTGACCTGTGGGGGGTGTTTAGGAAGGTGAAATTGGCATTTGCCAGTATTCAGGCTTGTCCTGAGTGAATTCTGAAAGGTTTTCCATCTTTTCCATGTACATGTAACAATGAATGCATCTTTCCATGCTAAGTAAGTGCTACTTTCTTTATTCTTCTGGCTGATGCAAAAGTGTCAGCCCCAATCCTCTATAAGGACATAGTAAGAAAGCAGCTGTAGTTTTCTGGGGAAATAATTTTTTGTTACAAAAATTAAATAAATAAATATATATTTCACTTGGGTACTTCTACACAGACTGATTTTAATGTCTTGGCTTCTTCCTTGGCTACAGAAAGGAATAGACAGAGAATTCTACCTTCTATTTTCAATCTTTGATGAAAATGACAGCTGGTATCTGAACAAGAATATCGAAGCATTTACTGGAGACCCTTCAAAGGTAGATGAAAATGACGAGGATTTCAAGGAATCCAACAAAATGCACGGTACGAAATATCTGATATCTGTTAATGATACCTTTTCTTCACTCATCATTGGCAGATTTTATTGTCATTCACAGCTGACTGCAATGCCCTGGAGGGTGAGGTGGAAGCTGTCAGTCAGTGTATGGCCAGCTCCCCATGTCCTCTGGATGTGTGTTGAATCCTTTGTCACATTAACAATGACTGCATCCACCTACCAACTACACCTGGAGAAAAGGAACAGGGTCTAGGTTTTAGATACAACACCTAGATATATAAAAAGGCATAGTGCCAGAGTCAAACAGCAACTGCAGAAAAAGATGATGTTCACTGGTGATTTAAAATTAGCTGCCAGCTTTGGCACTGACTCTGATAATGAAGGTTCATCCTCTGCTCTGCTTGGGCAGTGACCTCTGGCAGAGGGATAAAGACTAGGGGAGAGGCCAGTAATAGCTTAAAACTTCAATTCCATCTGTAAATATCTGACTTTGGCACAGACATCCTCAAATATATTCCCAATGTGACAGACTTAATCAAATCACATAATCTCATCATGCTTTGATTTTCCTGAGAGCACTGAGAATATATGCTGATAGTGAACAGTGAACTACCAAGCAAAAAGTGTGTGAAGACATTGTAGGCACGATGTCTCCAAACATCAGGCACCTTGCAGTGATTATTCCTCTTTCAATACATTTCTCATAAACTCACCTCGGGGTTTTCTGAGTCCTATTTTATTTTTCTGTTATAAGGTGATATTTAATGCTGAAGTTTTATTCTGCCTTAATATCTTTGACCCAGTGATCACAGAAAAATTCCAAAGTTAGGAAGCTCCACAAAACCCTTCTGGATATTTACATTTTGGAAGTAAAAGGAGAAATCAAAAGCCAAAATTACATGGGTAGGCTATGTCAGAATTGAAATTACAACTCGGACTCTTTATGGCCCACTCCATGGTCTTAATGATCTTAAGTTGAAAGGAGACTCCTAATTTATATATGTAACTGGCATCTGTGAAGCACCCTGGAAAGCTTGGAGAAGCAGATCTACATTTCTGTTGAGGGCTGTTATGGTATTTTATAGGCTAAAAAGAAATGTAGAAGCTAAGAGTTTGTAAGAACAGCATTTAAGCATTAATGTGGTGTTATCCAGTGCTAACTTTGCTTCACAAAATGCCTCTTTAATTAATGTTATGACTTCCTTGGTTGTGAGCCCCTTGCCGCAGAGGTGGCAGGAGGCTCTGTGCTGAGGTACAATCCACAGGCCACCGACCAGGCTCTTTTCTTCTCCTCCAGCTGTCAACGGCTACTTGTTTGGTAACCTGCCAGGCCTGGCCATGTGCAAGGATGACAAGGTCTCCTGGCACCTCATCGGGCTGGGCAGTCACTACGACATGCACGGGGTTCAGTTTCAAGGAAACACCATTGACCTGAGAGGGACGACGAGGGACGGCCTGGCCTTGTTTCCTCACTTATCGGGAACAGCACTGATGCAGCCAGACCGTGTGGGTACGTTCCTGAGCTTATCTGGGTGTTGTGTCACTTGCAGAAATCAGGCAGCCTAAATAACAGCCAGTGAGATGCTCTGCCCTACTTGGGGAGCGTGAGGGAGCTTGAAAATGGGGGGACATGCACAGGGAATGGAGCAAGGCCAGGACAAGAGGCTATGGGCACAAACAGGAATACAAGAGGTTCCTTCTGACCATCAGGAAGCACTTCTGTGCTGTGTTAGTGATGGAGAGCTGGCACAGGTTGCCCAGAGGGGCTGTGGGGTCTCCTCTCCTTGAAGATCTTCAAAACCTCCTGGACAAGGTGCTGGGCGGCCTGCTGTGGGCGTCCCTGCTTGAGCAGGGGTTGGACCAGATGGACTATGAGGTCCCTGCCTACCACAGCCATTCTGATTCTGTCTGGGCTGTGGGGACTTGACATAGCTGAGGATTCAGGCTGTGCTACTTCTCTGGCAAGGTGCTGTAAACCAAATACATGTGCACCAAAGAGCAGAGGCTTTGATGACCTCGGGATAGGCAGCGCAGCAGGCAGGCAGACAGCTAATGGGATGCTCACAGAATTTCCATAACTCTCAAAAATGCTTTTTTATCAAAGACAAAATTCACTGCTTTGCAGATAGTCAGCAGCATGTAAGGTGTTTTATAACTTCAGTAATACCTGGTCTTTAAGAGGTTCTTCAGAAGTATACACATAAAGGATACTTTTTATTTTCATGTCTAATCCGGTGATTCGTTCTTCAAAGCTGTAGGGGAGATTTATTCATTGGAGATACTTCAGAGAAGCTCTAAGCCAGAGTGCAATGTTACTTTTCTTCCCACTGATGCAAGTTTTTAAATCAAAGGAATCATGAGAGTTGTGCAAGGCTCTGCCAAAAGCCATCCTTGGCTGGAGCACTCAGTAGAAATATCTGTTGGCCTTGTGTGCACACACCAAGCCATGGTTAGACCTCCAGCACTGCTGTGTCTACGAGGCAGCAGATTCTTTTCTTGTGTCTGTCCCATACATTTCCACTGTCTGTCATGAAACTGCAAGGCAGGAATTACAATGAACAATATAGTCTAGGAGTTCATTGTTTTTTGCCAGCTAACTCTCTACTGACCACAAGGGAAAATGAATAAATTATCAGATCTTTACAATCACAAACAGCTGTATTTTATTTTTATTTTTTTACCTGCAAGTTATTTTACCTTTCACCATCTTTGCCCTAGAAACTCAAGGAATGGACTGAGATCCAGCCAGGACAAAGTTATGCTTCCAGTTTTGTTCCATCATTGACTCATTAAGTTGGACACAAATAACTCAGTGGACTTCTCAACTTTTGCATGCACTAAACAGCTGTGTAAATGCTTTCCTCCTTCACAAGAGTGCTAGCAGGTGGAGCTACACAGCACCATGCTGTGGTCAACTTCTGCTCCAGCAAATGGGAGGGGGACAACAAATGTTAAAATCTGCACAGGGGCCTGCCAAAAGATGTCTCTCCTGTTACTGCAGCCTTAGACCATCAGAGCCACAGAAAGCTCAGCCTGTGGTGGTTTGGCCTCCAATCTTGCCACTTCATTTGAAGCTTTCCACTGGTGAAAGCACAGAGCTGCTCCGAAGAGGCACTGGGTCAGTGCCCTCAGCACAGAGCACACACCAATACCATCAGAAACCATACACCAATCAAAGCCATCTCAAGATTTTTGGGAAAGTGTCCCTTAGCACTAAGTGGCTTTCAGCAGCCTCTGACTAGGTTTGTCCCTTGCTCTCAGCCCATGTAGTGGCCACGCTACCCCTGATTCTCCTGGTATTCTCCATGGGCATGGCTGTGCCTGGACACCCATCCTCTGATGTCTTGCTGCCATGGAGCACATGGCACCTAAAGGAGATGACTGGTGTATATCCATCTTACCATCTGGTTTCCCTTTCAGTCCTCTTTTTTTTTCAAAGCCAATGGGCTCTGGATGATATAAACACCCCCTTGACTGGATTTCCATACAGCACCACAGACTAGGGTGTTTTTTTTGGAAGACAGAGCAATGATGTACAAGGCGCAGGACCTAATTTTCCAGCCTGCTTGTTTATTTTCCAGAATTACTTACATCTCAAGAGCTTTCATTTCTAGGCACATTCAAGGTGGTTTGCAGGACTTTTGATCACTTTGTCGGGGGGATGAAACACCTCTACGAGGTCAGCAGCTGCCGCAATGCCACCCGAGCCCAGCAGCAGCACAACACCATGAGGATCTTCTACATCGCTGCGGAGGAGGTGGAGTGGGACTATGCCTCAAATAAGAGCTCAGAACCAAAGATTTACAACATCAGCAGCAATGAGGAAAGGTACATGAAGCAAAAAAAAAAAAAAAAAGGCTGCTGGGTGTGGGGCCCACTTATGGTGGAGGAGGAGCGTAGATGTCTCCCTTCATGAAGCCAGCCTAGTACTTCTTAGGAGGCACTCTTAGAGATGTAAACATATTTATAAAATGATAACCTCTCAGAGCAGACTAGACAGCATATGCAAATGTTTTTGTCTCTGTCTCATCATGCTGTTGAACCACGGAAGGCTTCCAAGTCCCTAAATCCATCTGTGGTAACAGCCTTGAGTGAGGCACATCTACACTGCTCTGTGCTAAGGAACAGAAAGTGTGCAGAAGACATGTGATCCAGTGGTCTTTGAGACCACTGTTTGGTGAAATAAATAAATAAGTAGATAAATACATAAATAAAGGAGAAAGGAACATATTTTAAATACAAACAAACAAACAAAAAACAACAACCTGGAAATTGTGGCTGGGAAGCTGTACCCTGTAAAAAAAAAGCACGAGTATGGTGGAATCAACAGAAAATATACCTGAAGAGAGAGAGGAGTGCCTAAAGAAAATATTAACTGTCAGAAAACATCACTGTCAAAAGGCTGCTGCTGTACACACAGTATTTCACTAGAGTGAGCTGTACTCCTGGGTGCTTGTTGCTTGTGTTTTGTGTGTTGTGAGCCAGCCTTGCAACTCTGCTGCCAGGGGGAGCTTGGAGAAGGGCAGCAAGGAGGCAGCGAGCTCAGAGGAGAGGTTGCGAGTGTCCTCTGCTGGCACATAATATCCACAATAAGACTAATATCCAAGCCAATGAAAGCAGGCATCATGGTAACAGGATTCAGGTCTGCAGGGAAAGATAGAGTCTTTTACTGGGGTGGAGGAAGCACTGGGGTGAGAGGCCAAAGTCACACGTAGCTTGAACCTCATTTCTGGTCTGTCAGCTCTGCTGAAGGATTTGTGTCCCCAGATGTTTGTGATGAGTACAATATATCCCCAGTTGTACTTGTTTGAAGCCAGTGTGCATTTATTGAGGATTATCACTGCTATTACTTGCTGTATAAAACCTCTTGCAGCACGTAGGGCTTACCTTCAATCACCACATTGGACCAAGCTGTATGTTCTTGTCACACCTACTATGAATAACACATTTACTAGCTTTTAGATACATAAGGTTTGGCACTTTTAATTTTTGCCTTTTTATTTTGCAGTTATGGGCACATTTTTCTGAGCCAAGGTGAAGACCTAATTGGTACAAAATACAAGAAGGTGGTTTACAGGGAGTACACGAATGGCAACTTTACACAGCGCAAAGTGCGGACAGAGGAGGAGGAACACCTGGAAATCCTGGGCAAGTAGTTCTCATGGCTCACAGGCTGAGTGTAATAAATGAGAGGATTGATTTCCAAAAAAAAGATTTTACAGCTTTGTTAATAAAGAAAAGAGGTAACACTGATAACTATTCCAGGCGATCAGTGATTTTACAACCAGTCCGTATAACTGCTGTTTGTAAAGATGGTTTTCAGATGAGATAATTTATTCCCTAACATAGAATAAAGAGTTTCTGAAGGAGCACTAACAGGGAGGATTCAAAAATCAAAATTCCAGGATTCACCTTAACATCAAACCATGTGGTACAGGGGAAGATTTTGTAGGTAGATTAACTCAGTATTAAGGGGCTAGATTAGTACCTGAAATTGGACAAGACAAAATTTTATATATGTCATAAAATAAACATCAGCTCCTGGTTTTTATAGGATGAGAAGTAGGCAAGAACTGATCATAAAATAGTCGGCACTCCCTGGTACAATACTGAAAAAAATAGTTTAATATTTCAGGGGAAAAAAAAAAAAGGCTATTACCACTTTAGGAAACACAATTCTGAAAGATATATAAAATATTCACAAAAGTTTTCCTGAAAAACAAGCTGAAACAAGCTGTCCAGAGACCTATTTCCAGAATGAACAGTTATTCTGATTAGCAAAAAAGAAAAAAGGTATATGTATATATATGTAATTTTTCATCAGCTGAGATAGCAGATTGGTTTCAATTTCTTTGTTGAAAGTCAGAGCAGCCTGAAGGTTTTGAGGGAACCCATGGCTCCTTTCTGAGGCCAAAGCCATTGGAAGATTGTTGAAATTCAGAAGAGCAGCATTAATCACCAGCGTCTTCTGCTTTAATTTAGGGCCATTACTCCATGCCGAGGTTGGTGACTCTGTGCTGATCGTGTTTAAGAACAAAGCCAGCAGGCCTTATTCAGTGAGTGCACACGGTGTAGAAGAAGTGGGTTGTGAAGAACAACCTGAGACACCGATTACCCTCCCAGGTAAGGCCGCTCATATTTTTTTTCTTTGAGCTACAAAGGCCATATATAAAAGTATTTTAACACAGGAATGATGTTCCCTCTTTCAAGCTTATTCATACCTATATGTTCTCCCAGGCATAATACACTCAGCGTTTATTCAGATATGATTCTCTGTGTTGCTGTGCATGTTGGTTCTTGATCAAGTGAGCGTGTTGGGGCAAAGAACGAGTCTTTGTTCCTATCAGGGGTAGAAGCAGGAATGTAGCATCACTGGACAACCTCCAAAAATGCAGAAGCAGGCCCAAAATCACAGCCAGGTGAAGCCTAAACCAGCGTTTAGATCAAGAGTGATGCTCTAACAAAGTTTTAAAAATGGGAACTTGGGGATAGTTGCAGTCAGCAATGTTAACTCTTCCTTACTGTACACCCAACTTGATGGTGGAGGTGCAATGCTGGGTTCGCTGCTGTAATGTCTCCTGTGCCCACACGGGAGCAGGCTTGGCATAAACTAGAGAAGGCTCATTAGGCGCTTGGAAGCAACAGTCAACAAGGAGAACAAATCCCTCAAAACCAGAATAATGCTTGGGCACTTTGCTCCCCCCAGCACCTAGAGGGCCTCGCTGGCTGCCTCCACCAGGCCATGCTGACTGCTCATCGGGGCCCAGCTCACCAGATCCCATCCAGTCCTACTAAATCCCGAAGCTGTCATCTCTCAGATTGATGTCCTACTACCCTTGTGTTCCCCAAAGTGCTGCCAGCTCCTAATGAGACTGTGTAGGGCAGTAAAGAGGTGCAGGGAGTAGGCCTCTGGGTGCCTAAGCCACAAACAGTTCTCAGCTGCCAGAGCTTTGTCCCCTCCCCTCTTTTTGTCCCCTCTACTCCTCTATTTAACCAGGAGAAAAAAGGGAGAAAACGTCCATTTTCATCTTTTTTTTGTCAGTCCTTTCATGGGACATGCTTCACTTGCATTTCAAAGATTGAACATTGATGCCATCTGAAGTACCTTGGGTTTTAAGTAGAGTGGAGATCTCTCTCCCTACAGCCTCCAAATATCCCAAAGGGAGGAGTAAGGAACCAGGAAATTGCACAGGACCATGGCCTGGCTCTTTTCACATCAGCCCCTCAAAAAAAGGCAAGATGGCACGTAGGTTAGATAAAAGTGGATGACAAATTATTTCCTGGTGTATGTCTCCAGGGCAAGAATGCCTCTGATGGGTTTCTTGTTGGTGTTTGCTGTCCTGCTACTGTAGTCTTGTGCCTTAAAAGCCTTTTTGATCTCTGTGAGGTCAATAAACCCATGCTGTAATGTACAGAAGGTGCTTGTAAGATTAAGTGGTATTGCATCATTTACATGAGACTCACGCTATATAATATGATATTTGAGCGTCATCTTTTTTTTCTTTTTTCTTTTTTTTTTTTTTTTTTGTAGTTATTGCCATACTGTAACACCCACTATTGCATGAACCACCAAAACTGCAGTGGCTCAGTGATACAAAGCTAGCTCAGACAAGTCACAGCCATTTAAATTTGAAAACTGCTTTGCTCCAATGCTCACAGCCATTGGCAGCTTTTGGGTTGTGGCTGTACCAAGACCATGGCCAACAGTTCCAGGATTTCCTTTTTTTTCCCCTGACTTGTATCACATTACCAGGTGTTATCAGGTTTTGTCTCCCTGGAATAAATTTGGGGAAGAGACAGACTGTCTGGTTCAGCATTTGTCCAGCACTTGGAAGGACAAAGTGTTGACCAACTCGTGGCCTCCTGCCTTTTTTGATGGAGCACAAGCAAATAAATAATTATTCATTTAAAAATGGGGAAACACAGCACAGACAGTTCATCTGAGTGTAGGTGTGTTTGTGTCCAATATAGAGAGCTGTTTCTCACCCAAGCAGACAATTTCCCCATCAAATTATTTCTTTTTTAGAATTAGAGATCAGGGAATCTCTGCTCCCCCTTGCCACCTGGTTACAGCACCATCTGCAGATCTCCTTTCACAGGTGATATCTGCCTTCCTTTACACCACTGGAACCTTGCCGACCTCCTGGAATGCAGAAACACATCCGCATGCCATTCCTGCGTGCTTCCACAGATAGCTTTGATACAGATCATTTTTTGACGAGGAGGATAGCGGGTCTCAGTTACATACTGCTCAAAGCCTCTAATACTCAGCTGTTCTTGGTAAAACTTTTTTTTTTTCTTTTTTCTTTTTTTTTTTTTTTCCAGGGGAAATAAACACCTACAGGTGGAACGTTCCAGAGCGATCCGGCCCTGGCAAAACAGATCCAAACTGTATCACTTGGGTTTACTATTCAACAGTAAATTTTGTAAAGGTAATCAAGAAATGGTCAATAAAGATTAGATAGTTTCAGATAAAGTATGCTATCTTGCTTAATATAAAGCATCCTGCTTCTCATTTCTGCAAGGACCACGGGCTTGAGGAAGGCTTTACTGAGCTAGATGTTTTGTTGTCTTTGGTAACAGTTGCATATGCTTGGGTAATTTGATCTACTAAAATCCTAGGGATGCACTATGGTAATGTGATTCCTTCTTAAAGAATAGTTGAAGGGATTTTTTGGTGAAGACAAAACATCGCTTTCGTATGTTAACACAGGGACATTAAATTCTGGGAGTAGTGTGTCCAAAGAAAGATATGTCTAATCAGATATAGTAACGATAGTATGATAATATGATAATATTGTAATGAAATATTTCATCTTTATTTAATGTGTAGATTATCTGTACTTTTTTCATAACTGGATGAACTAGAATATCTGTAATATAAATATTTATTTCATTTCAGGACACATACAGTGGTCTCATTGGGCCTCTTGTAGTTTGCAGAAAAGGAATTTTGGATGAAAATGGTTTGAGGAAAGACATTAATCGTGAATTTACTCTCCTGTTTATGGTGTTTGATGAAAACAAATCCTGGTATTTGAAAGAAAACATTGAAACATACCTTCATAAGAACCCAGATGATTTTAATTCCACTAAGGACTTTGTAGAAGGCAACAGCAAGCATGGTATGTAGGACTAGGTGGCAGCAGCCAAGAGGACAGAGATTTATTTTTCACAGCCCTTTTAGGAAGACAGTGACTTGGCCTGCAATTACGCACCCACGTGACATCTTTATAAACTGCAGCAACTGGAAACAAAAAGATTTCATGAGGTCCAGCCAAGATATTTTTGTGACAAGCTAATTCAACCTTATCCTCATGGGGAGAGGCTGCCCTGCCAGACTTCCCTTGATGTTTGGGAGCTGCCTTCCCTGTTGGCTCGCTTTGTAGCAGCACAAGGGTGACATTTTAAAACCGTGCCTGTAGTAGCAACCAGCCCAGGAGCCGAACAGGCCAGAACAAATGGGGACAGGAATGGCCCTGGCAAAGCAAACTTCTGCTTCTCCAGATTTCTACTCATTTGAGGCAGCAATTCTTCCCTCTTTTTCCATGTAGCTCCTCAGCAAATATCCTGTTTGTTCAGGAGTCTGATCCCAACAAGTTGAAGACCTTACCGGGTGCTTCACAAGACAGCTAAGTGGTTGCTGCTGTGCCCTTAGATGATAAACTGTTTGGAGACTGAAACAAAAACGTGGCTGTCTCTCTGCAGTCACTACAGAGAGCCCTTGCCTTGCCACATGTCCCAGGCACCTGTTCTCCTTGCCTGAAGGTTATTGCCAGCCATGCCATGGCCAGTTATTAATCAGACCAATTTTGTCATTCTTCCAGCAATCAACGGGAAGATTTATAACAGTCTGCTGGGTCTAACAATGAATGAAGGCGATACGACGAACTGGTATTTGATAGGAATGGGCAATGAAGTGGATATACATACAGTGCACTTCCACGCACAGACCTTCATCTTCAAGGTTGGTAAAATGAATCAAAGTAAAACTTTTACAGTGTGATGGGAAATTCCTGCAAAAAATGTCCAAGTTCTAGCCTATTTTTGCAGCTTGGACATACAGTCCTGGGCTGATGCTGAGATCAGGGGGAGGCTTGCATGTGAAGGAGTTATGAAATAAAGGGGATCCTTGCAAATGAAAATATATATGAAATATATGAAATGAAGGGGATCCTTGCAAAGCTTCTACCACTCATGTTCTGTTATAGAACCTGAACAAATGTCACTATTAGAGGTCAGGTAGGTTAAAATACATATTTTCCCATGGTTATAAGGGAAGATAGAGGGAGGAAACCAGAGTTATACCTGCTTACAGAATGGTTTGATGTTGTGACGGCCTGACACTGGTAGGACTACCTGAAAAATCTGTCTTTCAAAGTGACACCTGTGCTCAACCAGCACCCTAAGTCCCTAGGAGGAGTCTCCTGTGGTTAATTAATTGATTAAATGGAGGCTGTGCACAGGCCTTAGTTTCTCTCTGTGGGACACACTAGAAGCATATAACAAGGAGCATTTAATCTGCCTCAAGGAGCAAAAAGCCAGACTGTAATATTTCAGTGCCGGGGGTGGGGCATTTGAGTACAGTAAGGCAAGACCCTTATGATGCTGATTTTGCCTTGCCACAGACAGATAAGGACCACAGAGGAGACGTGTATGACCTTTTTCCTGGGACATTCCAAACAGTTGAGCTGGTGGCAGAAAACCCTGGGACGTGGCTCCTGCATTGCCATGTAGCCGACCACATCCACGCTGGCATGGAAACGACCTACACCATCAATAAATCAGGTGAAGTAGCAGAAATCCATCCTGGGACTCTGAGGGTGTATTGCAGCAGTTTGGATAAAAGGCAGGGAAGTAAGACAGCTAATGCCAGCTGGTGGGAAGCACCTAGGAATCACTGCCTGCTGCCCTGGGCAGCCAGCATCATCTAGGGATGCCCTGAGGGCATGGCGGGGTCATTGGCTCTGCTCTGCAACTTGGAAACAGGTGGTGTTTCACAAGAGCATCACCTAAGACAGTGGTGGCCTGTAGACATTCACAAGTGGTACAGAAAGCTCTTTTTTGGCCTGTAGCTGTTATGGCTGGTTCCTTCCTCCAGTCACTGCCTGCTCTCAGGGATATTCACGCTCCTTCCTGCACAGGCAGGGACCAGCTGGGCTACGAGGTGCATCCAGAAAATGGGGTTCATCCTGCCCAAGAAAGAGCTGTCCCTTTGGCTAAGTAATATTGGCAAATATTTTGAGAGAAGCTGGTCCCTTCTACCACCAGTGAGCGAAGTCAGAAGTGTTTTGTGAGCCTCTGCACATCACAAAATGTCACCAAACACCTGGGTCTGGCATCTCCTGCCTGGGCCAGCACAGTCTGTGCATGCCACACACTTCTGCAGAGGGCTGCACAGTCCTGGTGTGGTAGGAGGGTAAATGTAACACCAAATGTAGTCAAAATCCTCCTTCCTTGGGCAAGGTGTATTTATTTTCTACCACATATTCCTTCTGGCTTGTTCAAATGAACAAGCAAAAGCAGAAGTGAAGTAATAGATCCCTGTAGAGGAGGGGGACTTTGCCCATGGAGCTGCCTGGAGCAATCTATTTATAACTGTGCTGATGCAATCAGGATTTCTGTTCAGGTTACCAAGGTAGGAGGAACTTAAAAAAAAAAAAAAGTGCTAATTTCAGTTTTTTTTTTTTTTTTTTTTAAGGATTTTGGCTTAACTAATTTTTTTCCCTGTCTGCACAGAACGGGAAGCCCCTTCAGAAGGAACAGTCACAACTGTAGCTTATGGTACCACCACTGCAGAAAACAGGACCACAGCAAAGGGTATGTTTTTTTTTAACATATAGTTTTAAACTTTTCAGGCTCATGTGCAGATTCCTCATGAGCTACTTCTCTTTTGGCAGATTATAACAGCCAAGAGGGCACTCTTTGGGGCAAAATCCTGAATCCTGGAGCAGCCAGCCTGATGTTCGCAGCTTTTGTTTTTGTTGGACTTGTTCTGCTGCTCACCACACTGACCTTCTTCTGCCTCACCACCCGCCAAGGAAGCAGGATCCAGTACCAGGCTCTGCATGACAAAAGCGTTTTTCCAGCAGACTCCCTGTAAGCCCCAACTTTAGCATCCTTCACGGAGCTGCGCCGGATTTCACGACATGCTGCTGCTGCACCTGGAGCAAGAGCCACGCCGACAGCCCCATCCCAGTAGCCAGCACTCACGACAGCGAACGTGAGCTGCCGGGCAGGGATCCAAGAGCCACCCACCACCGTTCCCATCCCGCTGCCTCTCAGCTGAGCTTTGCCGGAGCCCAAATCTCTTGGCCAATGCTCTGGCTACGAGGGGATTTCATCACGGGAGGAAGGAGTGGGCAGGATTGCACCCGTGCACCCTTTGCAGAAGCATGGGGGTTGCACCAAATACCCCAAAAAACATCGGGGACTGTTTTAGCGTGCTGGCTCCTGAAGGCACATGTGTAAGTCTGGAAGTCCCTGCAGTGTCCCGAAGGGAATCCAGGCTTACACCAGAGTCTGGCTCAGTGATTCACTGACATTTAACCAATTCTCCTTTCCTTTTTTTTTTTTTTTTTTTTTTTTTTTCCCACCCTGTTAAATGAGGAAACTACCCTGGGGACAGGTTTTTAAAGGCACCTAGGTAGTGACCAATATAATTTAGCACCTGACAGAGCTCAGCAGCTGTTACAGTTTTTGTTAATCCCTTTAAAAACCTAGCCCTGCGCAACCTCCCAGAAAGTTATTAGACTTTGTAATTGCTGCTCCGTGTGGTCGTCCTGATTCTTTAACTCTTCTTTGCACCAAGCAGCACCTCACCCCCTAATTTTAATGAAACCAGCAGGAGGCTGATGTCTGTGGTCTGCAGGGAAGAAGGACAGAATCAGGCTGTGTCTAGTGATACTTGAATGTTTATAGCTCATGTTTAATTAATTAGACAGCGCTCACTCTTGCCAGCCAGCTGCTCCTGTCAGCTACAGCTCTTGCAGAGGAGCTCCAGAACTAACACATCTGTGAAACTGTTTATCCAAGTTGGATTTTGAATGTAAATCCAGGTTGCTGTACTTTTTTATTATATTTTTCCCAGCTCTATATTTTGAAGTATGTTCAAATCTAGGGAACTTGGCTGCCCATCCCTCTTACTGCAGCCTAGCAGTGTCCCGGATCCATGTCCAGGTAGCTGATACGTAGAAGTTTCTTGGGTGCTTCTTGGTTATTTCCTGATTCCTTGTTTTCCCCAGTTATTTAAGAACACACACATGAGGTAGAACTGCAGGACTGAGCCCAAATAGGAGCTATACTATAGCAATAAACACTTCCACACTCATTTACTAAATCTCCTCTTTGAGCTGACAAATAGATACCCTAAATCCTGTGATCTTTCTGTTTTGTAAACATTGATATTGAGGTTTTCTGTTCTGTCCACAAACACTGCACAGAACATTTCCTCTCTGTATACATACAAATTAAAGCCTTTCCCTTAAACATACGTGATTAATAAAGGAAGTTATTTGGTACTTTCTCTTTTAGAGTAGCTGGCGTGTCTGATTTTTAGAAACAGAACCGTAAATATATTCTGTCCACAGTAACCAGCCAAAGTGATGACAAAGATAATAAAGATCTGGTTATTTGTACAAACCTTCTGGCACAGTTTCTTTCACCCGGCACACTTCTCAGCTGGAGGGCAGCTGAGAAACAAGAATGAGGCCTCCAGAGGTCCCCAAGGCCTTGGGATGTCACTGCGGCTTGCCCAGGTGAGGCAGTCGGCTGCAGAAAGCAGAAGGCATCATAGGGAGCATGAAGCGTGGTGTTTTGCATTACCTGCCTGCCTGGAGCAGGCAGCTCAGGTCCAGCCATGCCCCACATCATGGAGCTGTGGAAAACACCTGCAACAAAGGACAGAACCCATGCTGGACTGAAGCACCAGTGGGAGCACAGAGCAAAGCAAACAAATGATGAGATGACAACAGGAACAAGTCACCAGAACTATGAATCCAGGGCCACAGGCCCTTGAGGATTGGAAGTCTGGATTACGTAGTCCAAAATCTTTGGAACTGCCCCAGCACCAAGAGCTTGGTAGGTGACAAACGCAGTCCCAGCCTTGAAAAACTCCCCAGAATCTAGGAGGTGAGGAATGAGCAGCCCTGGCACCCACACAGCACAACCTGCCAGAAACTGCTCTTGAAGACAGAAGAGTGGCCAAAGGAACAGAACAGACCATGGCAGAATGAATCGTTTTATTTTTATTTATTTTTTATTATTTTTTAAGGCAATTGTACTTTAATTAGGTTTTTGAAAGCCTCCAAGAGCACATAGGACACCTGCATGAATGTAGCCTGCTTACACCTCCATAAGACATTTGAGAAATCCATGGTAAAAATTCCTGAGAGAAATGAAATCACTGGGATAAGAGGAAGGAGGCTAAATAACTGGTTAAAAGATGGGAATAAGGGGCCACATTTCATGGTGGAAGTCATTCCTGGGGTGCTGGAAGGACCCCCGCTATTCACTGCTTTTTGTAAGGGATGTGAAAAAGGGTTACTGAGTTTACTGACAACTGTAAGTGTACCTAGCAAGAAAAAATGATATTGAGTGTCAAAAACTACAAAAGAACCTTGTGCTGCTGAGTGATAACAACTGCACTGGTCGGCAGCACTTGTGGAAAACGCAGTCCTAGCCCTATATACATCGTTATATGCACAGGCAACTGAATATCAGCAATCATTAGGAATTAAGAGCAGAGGAAACCCAAAAACACCCTGTTGCCACGATATAAATGTCTGGGGCACCTGCATCTTGAATATGGTGTGAGTCTGAGGAGAGGATGCTGTATCTGAAGGACAGCCCAGAAAGCAGAAGAAAGGAAATCAGAGTTGCAGAATGGTTTCCATATGAGGAATGATTTCTTTGGATCGGGGCTTGGAAAAATAGAAAGGACAATTGAAAGCAGATAGCACAGCAGTTTTATAAGGAGAGAGTGGAGAAGGGAACAGTTTGTGCCTTTGGGCTGGAGCAGCACGGGCTGGGGCAGAGCCAGGTGCAGAGCAGAGGAGGTGGCTCGTTAGGGGGCTGATGGCCCCCTCTGTAACTCATGGGTTGAGGGGCTCAAAGCTTACTGAGGCTAAAATAAAATAAAAAATAAAAAAGGAAAAATATAAAGGAGGGGGCAAAGCTAGAGATTAGGAAGGTTAGGGGTTGTTAAAGGTGACTTCTGCAAAAAACGACTTGAGATGTGGTGATAGAGATGAAACACTTAGGCTGGGGGAAATGTTCATGGTGTTGGGTCGGCTGGGGGCTTGGGGCACCTCCAGGGGCAGGAGAGGCTGAGAGGAGGTGTGTGTAGGGGGGGTATCGGTGAGCATAAACACCCGAGGGGGGTGAGGATGGGGCAGCCTCCTCTCAGGGCTGAGGACGAGAGGCTGAGAGGTGACGGGCACAAACTGGAAGAGCAAAAATCCCAAAATGGCCGGGGTCGGAAGGGACCTCTGGGGACCCCCCAGCCCAACCCCTGCCGAGCAGGACCCCCTGGAGCACGTTGTGCAGGATGGCAGCCGGGCGGGTTTGGGATGTCTCCAGAGGAGGACACCCCACGACCTCTCCGGGCCAGCCTTGGAGGTGGCGATGCCCGGCTCGGCCCGGCTCGGCCCGGGGCATGCAGCAGCCCGGAGGGGGCCGGGCTGCGGGGGCGCTGCCGAGCGGAGCCGGGCGGAGCCGAGCCGGGAGGAGCTGAGCGCTGTAAAACCGCCTTGTGCCGAGCCGTGCCGAGCCGAGCCGTGCTGAGCCGTGCCGAGCCCACCATGGCCATCGCGCACATCGCCACCGAGTACGTCTTCTCGGATTTTTTGCTGAAGGAGCCGCCCGAGACGCGCTACAAGGGGCTGCGGCTGGAGCTGGCGCTGGACAAGATCGTCACCTGCATCGCCGTGGGGCTGCCGCTGCTCCTCATCTCCCTCGCCTTCGCTCAGGAGATCTCCATCGGTAACCGGCCCCTCCTAACCCCCCCCCCCCTCAGCTCCCTGCCCCGGCAGACAAAGGCTTCGGCGGGGCGGGGCTGGGGCTGGGCAGGGAAGGGTTAAAAAGGGGGATTTTAGGGGTTTGGCGCTTTGTGGGGTTCAGCTGCCACCCCCCGGAGGGTTTCCGTTCAGGGGCTTGGGGCAGAAGGAGGGTTTGGGCTGTGTGGGGGGTGAGGAAGGGGGGAGAAGCATCCCTGGGAGCGCCGCCATGGAGCAAGCATCAGGCTGGCCTTCCTCTGCCCTCCTCCTCCTCCTCCCCCTGGGGGCACCCCAGCCCCCTGAGCCAGACCCCTGGCACCTTCATCCCATGGGGGTGAATTCAGGAGGGTCCCACTGCCCGCTTCATTTCTGGGTGCTGCTCAGCCATGGGCAGGGGTGGCTGCCGGAGCAGGACCTCGAAGGCAGCCCATGTGCTGTGCTGCCATGCCCCGGGCTTGGAAGGAGACCTCACCACCTGCCTGGCACCTGGCAGGGACAGGAGGCAGGGATCAGGCCCCTCAGACTGCTTGGCAGGACTGCAAACCCACTGCTTGGGTACAAACCCTGGAAAAATTGGGGCACACAGTGGCGGGGTGCACTGCGAGCTTCCCCCTCTCTGCTGTGCTTCTGCAACTGTCCCCGGTCCTGCTCCTGTTGTGGGTCAGTGGATGAAGCCGTGCTGTTGGTGAGAAAGGCCAAATTTCCCCAGGATTTTGCACCTCCCCATCCCCAAGGGCTTGTGCTGCAGCCTGATAGCCAGCCCTCTTCCCAGTCTCAGAAATGACCGAGGAGATTTCCGAGCCCAAATGATGAAAGTTTGTAACTTGGGTGCTTGCTTATAAAACCCACTGCACGTAACAATTCCTCATCATTGAAGTGGCACTCTGTGAAAGCAGATTTCAAAGGTGAATAAGCAGTGCTGTCCATTTAGGGACAGAGGTGAACACACCTCTTCCACGCTTTCAGGAATACTTTGATTTACTGCACACACCTGCCTGCTGGTGTTCAGCACGGTACACCATACACGGTGTTTAGCTTTGAGTAAAGCAAGTGACAAGAGACTGGAAGCTGGCATGGGATTGTGAGGTAGTGGTGAATCTGGGGAAAAACATGCATAGCATTAATCAGATATCAGAGGGGTTACCAGATAACATGCCCCGGTCCATTCTGTTCACATCTAATTGCACACCGGTTTCAGTAGACATGATTTTGACCCAGAACCCTGCGACCTGCAATAACCAAGCAGAAGAGTCGAGGACAGCCAGGCTGGGATTGCCAGGACCAGATCCATGTCCCATGGATGCTCTGGTCAATCAGAGACTGAAAGGATGCAGAAGTATTTCTGTAATTTAACCTTTTAATTTTAGATCAGCTGCTAAGTGTGCTTTTCTTTGCCTTGAAACAATAAAAAAGAGGGCTGTCACATTAGGGGGCTGTGCAGGTGCACAAACCAGCTCGGATGTGGACCTGGCAGTTCTTCCTTCTGCTTCCCCTCTAAAAACTCTGGATTCATCTGTCTGAAACAGTGGCTACGTATCAAGGTCTCTCTAGTGATCCCTGCAGAAGAATTTCTTTCATTTTCATTTTTTAAGTAAAGCCCCAACATGTGATGGTTGAGTTGCAGTTTGGTAAATCTTTCCTTTCTTCTGAATGAGTGGCATTCTCCTCTTCAGTAACCAAACATTTGCTCCCCAGCGCATGGTGTATATAACACCTTTCATTATTAAAATGATTCAGATCGAATCTGCAACTGCAGCAGATTCACAAAGCAAGAGTAAAGTGCGTGCTCCATCCTGCATGCCAGGGATATGCCACATGCTTTTTTTCCCTTGTAATCTTGAGAACCAGTCAGGAGAAAACCTGTGGTTTAAAACCCAGCTCTTCTGTTTGAAGAAGAAATAAATCAATGGTGTGATGGCAGGCCTCTGGTGTCACTGAAGCTCCACCACGTGGTTTCCATACAGAAAGTGATAGTACGGCAGCCGTGCTGCCCCTAGACAGCAAGTGCCTGTGGCCTGCACAGCGCTTACAGCTCAGCAGGCAGGCTGCAGCTCACTGAGATGTTCCCATTAAGGGTTTTTGGAGGGATGCAGAGGGTTTCGGGTCTTCTGTGGGCACTGCTGTTCAGCCAGCGATGAAACTGGAAAGCAGGTGCCTGTCTCAAACACTTCCTGAAATAACCGTGCTTTGAAAAAGCTCAGGGCTGCTAAACCCAGCGAAAATGGTAGGGTGCATCTTAGGTCTCAGGAAGAGCGACCCAAAATCAGAAGTGGATGTGAAAGGAGCATGTGAGTCACTGTGTGGAAATATCCCTGCCTCTGGGTTCAAAACTCGCACGCGCTTTCCAGAAACAAGTGCTCAGATCCTATTTCTGTTGGGATAGTTGTGTTCTTCCCACCTAAAGCAGCACGGCAGCTCTAGCCGTCAACTTCCCCTTCCCTTCTGGTGCCTCGTTGCAGCACAGTGTCTGGTAACTGCAATTTTCATCCCACCTGTGGTTGCTGTTGATTGTGCAAAGCGATTAAGACACTTACAAAGGCCACAGGTGTCTCCCGAAGCCATCAAGTACCTTTGGGTTTTGATAGAAGTTTCAGATAACGAATGATTCACAGATCCAAATTGCATATCGCGGAGGATTTCTGTGCCG